AAGTATATATTAATAAATACTTGAATGAATGAACTATATTTAAAATCTGTTGGATTTTCATGGAGACCCAAGCACCTCAAAAATGTTGTATTTGTAGAGTATCATGTCCTACCCATCACTGACAAAGTCCCTTAACATCACCACACTTTGCAGCTAAATTCTACTTCACTGCACTTCAATTTTCAACATAAAATTCACAATAGTCAACTTTTTTAAATGGCTGATATTAATTTTTCTTCTGTGGGAAGAATAAATGGCTTCTAGCATTTACTATTTAATAGCATCTCCTATTTAATAGCATCTCTTCTTAAAGGAAAGCACAGGAGGTTTCCTTTAGAAAAGACAGTGATTACAGACCACTGTAGGAATGAACTAGGCGGGCCCCCTAGTGGCTTGAAGAGCTCACACTCCCCAAAGTACCTGACATGCTTGAGGAATCTGGTAAACACAGGCCTTCCAAAGCTGTAGATTCAGGGGGAAGAGACCCACCTGGCTGCAAAGATAAAGAGTAAGGAAAGAGAAGAAAAAAACGAGAGGGAAATATATACTGATGTGTGTGTGTAACATCAGACATTGCTGCAAAGATACAGCAGTGAACTTCTCCCCACGTGTGTGCAGTGGTCAGAGAGGAATAGGGCAAGTGTCAGAGAGCGAGACGGGAAATGGCACTTAGGGGCAGTAACTGAGCAGCGAGAAATGGCATCCTCTGCTCCTTTTCCCTCATAACTGCCTCCTTATTACGTCTCTATATTTCCCCCAGAACACAAAAGCTCCTACACGCCCACAGCAACACACACACACCCCACACAGGCTCCAGTGCTAACATTCACTGAGACTGAAGCAAGGGTACTAAGGAAGTTTCACACCATGTGTCTAAATATTTAAAAGTTATTATCAAGCTAACAAACTGTTAAATATCTTCTTCTCTCCAACTGTGATAAATAGTCTCCATGGCAACGAAATTTTTAAAAATACGTGTAAAGCTATAGTTTTCATATGAGTGAAGATAGAAAAAATACCAAAGGCAACCAACCTTAAACATGACAGTGTTTCTGAGTATTCTGTGATGAATCAAAATTGTCCAGATGAGTATTGATAAAGATATCCCTAAGTCATGCATTTTAATTATTCTATAACATTTCATTTGCTCTTCCTATATTCCATAAAAAACATGAATCATGTCATTATAATCCAGATTGTTATGTAATTTGTGTTCTTTGAATAGTAATGTCAAATTAAACTACTTTTCTTAACTCGTGCTTATTATCTTCAATTTGGAAACACTTCACTCCATCAAAACAGTAAAAACAGGAATCATCAACAAAATTCTTGGGGCAATACTTGGACATTGAAATGAAAAATGAATTTTACACGCCATGTTCAATCATTGAGGTCACCTATGTTTAATATATTCTTATCATACAAAATATTAGAAAATAGCCTAACTTTATTATTAAAATAAGTATGACTCATATTTCTTTACCTGTCTCTTAAAGCAATATCTGGACCCTGATAGTATTTTTAAATTTCTGCTTTCCATTTTTTTAATGCAATGTGAAGAGAAAACTGAAAATAACAGTATGCAGCTCAATTTGTCTTCACTAGAGTTTATACCTACAACCAAAATGGCCAGAAAATAGTCCCCAGAGGAAATGAGCATCTGGACTTTTTATGTGGCTCACGTCAAGGCCTGGTTCACGGCAGTCATCCTGGAGTGTACCTTCTCTGTTTGACGTTCACTTTTCATTTCTAGAAGTAGATTCCCAGGCACCCAGATTTATTCTGCTCTCTCACGAGACTGGTAGCTTACCCAGGTTAACAAGTCCACAGTTGTTTCTGTTCAGAATATTAAAAGAACTGTGCCACTGGTCTCCAGAATTGATGTTGGGAAACTCAGTGCCATTCAGCTTCCAGCTCCCTTGTATGGGACCAGCTGGGTTCCTATCAAAGCTTTTGGAACATTCTTTTCCCAGATATTTGCATGGCTGTTTCTTCTTTCTCATTATCCACTTCTCTGCTGACCTCTTAAGGGACTGTTCCTGATCAGAGAAGCCTCCACGTGCCACTCCCACATCACCCATGATTTTCATCAAATCTATGAAAATTTGATGAAAGCTATTTTATTTTCATCAAAATAGTTAATGCCACCTGATGTTTTCTTTTATTTACTCATGGCGGTGCTGGATCTTTGTTGCTGTGCGTGGGCTTTCTCTAGTTGCAGCAAGCAGGGGCTACTCTCAGTCGCTGTGCTCGGGCTTTTCATTGAGGCGGCGTCTCTTGTTGCAGAGCACTGGCTCTCGGTGTGCGTGCTTCAGGAGTTGAGGCTCATGGGCTTTCAGAGCTTGGGCTCAGTAGCTGTGGCTCCGGGGCTTAGCTGCTCCCTGGCAAGTGGGATCTTCTCTAGCAGGGATCGAACGCATGTCTCCTGCACTGGCAGGCGGATTCTTAACCACTGCACCACCAGGGAAGTCCCCCTGATATTTTCTTGTTTCTTCTTTTCTATATTATCTATTTCTGCTGAATATAAGTTTCACAAGAATTTGTCTGCTTCTAAATCCCCAGTGCCTAGGATAGTGAGCAGGTACTCAATCAGTATTTATTGAATAAATGAATGCAAGCCTATATATTAGCACTAGCACCAGAAGTAGAGAAAGTATGGACTTTTGATTGGCATTTCTAAGTTATGTAAAACAGGATCATGTCTAGGCCCACAACTGTCACAATGCTTGTACTGACTGTAAACATGTCTTCTGATCATTCTGAATTATAATTAGGAGCCCTAGGACTTTAAAGTAAAACTTTCTTGAGCGGTTCAATTTTATTTGCCCTCAGAAAGCAGTGATCTTGGACCAAATTACCTTCTTCCCCCTACAAAAATTAATATTTGTTAAGAGTTAATGTTATCATCTTGATTCTAGTAGAACAGGGAAGATGAAGGTAATCCTGCAAGGCATATAAGAGTGCAAGCTTCAGCATCAGATGGCCTCAGTTCTGATAGAAGCTTCATCATGAGGAGCTGTGTGTCCTTGGGTTTATTTAACCTCTCTAAGCCACAGTCTCCTAATTATAAGAGTGCTTGTCTCCTGGGCTGTTATGAGGACCAAATAAGATCATTTATCTAAAGTTCTAGGCATAGTCCTTGAACATTTAATAAATGTTAGCTGAAATTATCTATTTGAACATTTACATATTCTTCGCAAAGTCTTGCCTGAAAGCATCATTCATAAAGTTGCAAGAAATAATTTCCTCTCTTAGCTTAGTGTTCACACAAAACTGCCTCTTGAAACACACTTGAGATTTTCCTTAATCAGGTGGGAAGAAGTATAAGACCAATCATGCTTTCTTTCCAGAAGGAAATTCAGGTCATCTGCACTAATAAAACCTCTTCCAAATCTCTTTTTTCTGGCTTATTTTTCTTAGCTGGCTTCCTTTTGATTTTATTTTTAATTGTTTTTTTTAATATTGTATTTAACTTTGTAGCTTGTGGATCTGTCAGTTATGAACTGAGAGACCCTGGAGAGGTTATTTAGCATCTAATGCTCTACTTTCTTAATTTGTCAAGTGAAAACTGTATGGACACCGATGACACTAACATCCCACTCTCCTTTTAAAATAACCTCTCATCTGCTGCATCCATATTCCCTTGGGGTCCTACAAAGGGCCCAATCCTCTAAGCACTGAGATGACTCTAAAAGTGAACATTAATTCAAGATGGACCAAGGAGACACCTGCCAGAAATTTCACATTTAGGACTGAAAGAGGCAGGTCAATTCCATCTAGCAGCTGAAATTATAAAACATAAATCTCAGGAGTTGCTAGTGGCTATGTTTCCCATTTATGAAGGAGCCGGTCCGCCATGAAAGAGAAGAATGGCTCTCAGAAGAGAGAGAAGGAGAGGGAGTCCTAATGATTCTAATGGTTCCAGGGCTGTAGTTTGGCTGTCCCTTTAGACAGCCCACGATCTTCCCAATAAATTCTCCTCTTTGCACACATCATTTGGGTATAAGGTCCAAATAGTTCTAACACAAAGAAAATAAACTTTCCTTTTAGTTCTAATTCTAACAGTTCTAACGTGTAGTCCTAATACATAGAAAATAATTCTACTTTTAATAGTTATTAAGGAAAATGAATGAGATAAATAAGTGCCTGGTCTATTGTGTATGTGTTTGTCCTCAGTAGAGCACGACTCTTTGAGACCCTATGAACTGTAGCCTACCAAGATCCTCTATCCATGTGATTTTCCAGGCAAGAATACTGGAAAGGGTTGCCATTTCCTACTCCAGGGGATCTTCCCAACCCAGGGATCAAACCTACAACTCTTGTGTCTCCTGCATTGGAGGACAAATCTTTACTACTAGCTCCATCTGGCCTATTACCCAGCATATAATTCTTGCTCAAGAAATGAAACTTATTAACATTATTTATAAAATTGAAATACAAATTCTAAATCAATTAATTAATAAACACAATCAAAATTTTTATTTTATTTTTTTTTTGGCTGCACCTTGTGGCATATGGGATCTGAGATCTCTAACCAGGGATTGAACCTGTGCCCCCTGCATTGGAAGGGCAGAGTCTTAACCACCGGACCACTAAAGAAGTCCCTAAACACAATTTTCTTAGCTTACAAGTCTTCTTTCAGTTTCAAAATCACTCAAAAGGATTCTTTGGTTTGGGATCCTGAAAGAATTGCAAAATAAGAGAAATGCTCTGAATCAATTTTGTCACACATTATTGTGTAAATCTAAGTAGTTCTTACATAGTTAAACAGTCTTAGAGAATAGTAAAGCCTCTGACCCAGAAACTCACAATTTCATGCTTAATTCATGTTTGTAGTAAATACATGGAGGGAAAGTGGGAAAAGTAAGAGACTTACATTCTGCTTTTCCCACACATACAGGAATAAGCCTGACACATTTAAATGGGCAAAATACTAATGTAGCTGCATGCACAGCAGGCTTCACAGAGTGTAAATGATGCAGCAGAGAGAATGACAATACCTGTAGAGATACCACACTGACGTTATCGAAATGGATGTGTCCATTAGGCTCTGTGACAGCTGGATTTGCATAACATGTCACACCATTGATGGCAGGTAATGTTTTAGGTTGATGAGTTTTTTCTTGAGAAGGGCCAAAGTCATTATTTCCAAAGTGGGTATGATCATTCTACATGGAAAACCAAGAGAGGAAAATGTTATAAGAAGAAACAAAGTTTGCTCATGCAGGCAAGAGAATTTAATGGTCTTTGTCTGTAAGAGAAAAATGTAGTATAATCTTTTTAGATTAAAAAAATTTCTCTCCCTTTAAACATATCCTCATTTATTAGATTCTGTTGAGGGTTGTGTTTTTTTTTTTCATGTTTTAGAGTACACATAACTTCTCATGTCAATGAATATGAGAGTAAACAAATTATGTGCATCTGTTATTGCACATTAAATTGTTAGTATTTACTCCAAATTCTACAATAAGAATCAAGACTTCCGCTTATATTTGTCAATATACTGATTCTTTTCTTTCTACTCATATTCACAAGTCTATACCTGAACTGTTCACATAATTGTAAGAATAAAATTCCTGCCTTTACATGCCTATATAAAGTAACTTGAGTGGGTAAAACATCAAACATTTTAAATAAAGTCCATTTACCTGACCATACGTCTTCAATAACATCTTTAGTGTTCTTTCAAAAAAGAAAAGTATGTAAAATCCACCAAACACAGCAACTGCCTTCTCAATATAGTTGTTAACTTTAGGATTGAATCCAAATGCCTAAGGGAGAAAAAAAGGCTTATGGTTAAGATCAAATAATTTAATTCAGTATATAATTTTCACCACAGTTCTAAGTCTATCCTTTACATCCAAGTAATACTGGAAAATTTACCTGCCAAAAATCTGAAATTTGAATAATCAAACTATAAGAGATGGCATCAAAGTCTTCTAACCAGAGGAATCTCTATTAAATAAAGCCCCCAGAGTACCTTATAGTTTCCTAGCTATAAAATCTTCAGCAATATTTGCCTAAAAAAGTAAACTTTTAATAGTAAAAAAGCAGTACTGATTCCTGTATTTATAAGATAGCATTAGATATAGGTCATAAAGACAAATGAGATATTGATTACCCACTTTTCCTAAAAGTGATATATATTTCCCTCATATCCAGAGTCAAATTTTTAAAACAAATATGGTAGCTCACTTGGATTACTGTTTTCACAAGAGATCTTCTTGAATGTAGAGGATTCTAGTAAGTCCTACAGAGATAAATTAAGAACTGAACTCCAGAATAAAGAAGAAAAAATTTAAGATACCAGGCACACAGACACACAGACATACACACACACACACACACACGATGATAATGAAATGATGCATCATTTAGAGAGCACAGGGCAAGAGCTAGAGTTTGAAATTATAGAGTCAAGAAATCCTAAGAGATAACAATTACAAACTTAGAATAGAAGACACTTGGGTTCTTGTTCTACATTTGTCTCTGTGGGGGAGACCTCATGCCACATCTTCATTTCAGTGGCTTCTCTGGACCTATTTATACAGTGCAAAAAGGACATAAAATACCTGCTCCATATACCTAACACACAGGGTATGAAACTAAAACAACAAAGGGGAAGTAATTTTGCCACAAAAGGAATAATTATGTAAATTGGGGTTATTATTAAAAAGATAGATTCTTTAGTGTTTACATAATTCTCTGAGCACATCCATCCATAATTCCCTAATTACCACAGAAAGGCAAAAAAATACCTTTAAGTGCTACTGAAGAAGTGTCTTATTTTCCTAGTAAACATTTTTATGTTTTATTACATTTTCAATAAAATAGAAAACTTCAAAATCATAAAGGTACAATCCTCAGTTCACATAAAATATCAGTTTAATTTAATTTGACCCACAAATCAGATGAGTTAATATATATGTTATGTTAAATGTGGTCCATGTATAATATTACATGTAATGTTTCTATTCAGAAAGCCTGTACTATAATCCTGGCTATGTTACTGATTACAAGTGATTTAATCTCCTTGGATTTTAATTTTTGCAATTTTGAATTTTAATTTTTGCAATTGAGGGTTTGAAGTACATGTTCTCCTAGGTCCCTTCTAGATATAATAATAATACTATGACTTTAAGAAGTTACATCCCCACTTTCATATGGTTATAATTTTCTAAGACTTATGCGCCAAAGGTGGTACTATTTTCTCTCTGTTTGGAGCTCCACCTTTGTGGGTACATGGGCTGGAGTGATACCATCCACATGTGTATGGATTTCTCTGGTCCCCCTTTGTGGCTCTTTCCCATCTCTTTTCCTCTATTCATTCTCCTCCCTCTGCCTCTCTTCCCTATATGACCACATTATAGATTTGAAGTAAAACCTATATATCACATGCTGATCAACTCTGGGCAATGGCATCTGTAACACACTTCATTAAAGGAAAAAATAAGTTGCTATTTATTTATCGGCCCTCAATTGATTTTTTTTCCACAGTCAAAAAAAAAAAAAAAAACAGAAATGAAAAGGTTTGTCAACCTTTTTCTAATATGTCCTCTGATCTCCTACGGCTGTTGTAAATATACAAAGGAATTTTATTGTATATGTTTAGTAAATTAGATGCTGTGTGCTCTTCAGAAGTATATAAATAACAAGTACAGAAAATCAAATTTGCTGAATGTGTGACAGAATAGACTTGTTAAGGCCCTACAAGGTGTCCCAGGGCTGTCTGAGCACGGCCTGGTGGCTAGCCACCCAGAAGATCAATTTTCTTCCTGACACTGACTTCCCCAGAGCTTGGAACAAGCTTTTTCATTTCCTGTGATTCAGCTTTTTCTTATCCAAAACACTATAAACCAGACCATAAACTGCTGCAAGAATTATGGAGGCTTAAAATGTACAAAGTGCCGAAACATTTAAAAGCAACAATTATTCACAGAAACAAACAGCCCAACCTCCTTACCTCCGGTATAAGTTGGAAAATTGCATTTGAAAATAGAGTCCCGATGGCCAGCCCCACAAAATAGGTCAGAATCTTAGGGAAATAAGATTTCTTTATCAACGGAGTCAAAACCAATCCGAGAAGAGATGCCAGATTAATAATTGTCACTGACAGGAATCCATATCCCCAAACTGTGGGTGAGAGGGAAAAGAGTAGAAATTAATTAGAGCAAAGGAGCAAACGACATCTTACTGTACTTTAAGCCTGAAACATGTTTCTCCTCTAAAGGCTTGAAAAGGTATCTTCTTAAAACAACAAAACCTTTTCAAGGAAAATTATATAGAAAACTGAGAATATAAATACTAACAGTAACACTGGAGACACTTTCCTCTGTCCTCAGTCATCATTAGGGGATTGCAGACTTTCACAGCTTATGTGGAATTTGGGGAATATCTAGCACAGTGATCATCCAAGACCCACAGGTTCCAAACTACCTGGTTTTATCTGTGGTTCAAAGCCCAGTTTACAACTCAGCCTTTCAGAGAAATGATGCAGGCAGTGTATTTCAAGGAGAAGATATGGGGGGATGCATACGAGGTAGGGGTGGAGCTGGGTGGGAGTGGTTAGCTTCAAGATGACCATAATTGCTGACACTGAGCTGGTCATAATCACTGGTCTGCAGGCGCCTGCGGACAGCACCTCCTCGGGGGAGGGGGCACCTCAGCCCCCCGCCTGGGCCTCCAGGGAGCCCCAGTGTAGTGAGCACTCAGGAAGGGAGCATATGGCAGTGGGGGAGAGTGGATACCTTGTACAACTCACCCTACTGGGCTCAGACAAAGGTGAAAATACGCTCTACATGTAGATGGGGGTGCATTCTTCGTATCTCTATCCCCAGGGCAAGGCACCCTAGTGATGCTTAATAAATATTAGAATGAAATGATTGGATGGCATCCTAAGGTCTTTAGCCAATGGTATGCATGATCTTTGGGCCTCAATATCTCCTCGGTTATCCTAGAGGAGATGGAAGACAAAATGGGAAAGTGAGGAACAGCCTGTGTGAACTGTGCAAGTGCCAGGGTAGTACGAGCTGAGATACAAGTTAGCCCCTGGAACTGTGTGACACTGGCTTTGCCCGTGGCCCCACTCACGGCGTGCAAAGGACAGTGTGAAAGGTTAGAAAGCTGCCTCTGAATTGTCACTTCTTTAAAATGCCCAGAAAATATTTTTAAATGTTGGGGTGCTTTCTTTGTTGACACTATCATTGGGGTATGTGTTGGCGAGTGCTTGTCATGTGCCACGTACTGTGCGGACTAACCTGTATTAAATCATTTTATCCTCGCAAATCCCTATGGGGTTAGTACTATTATCACCTCCTTCATGCAGTTGAAAAAACCAAGGCACATGGAGTTCATTTGAATTTATTTAAGTTGCCCGAGTCATGTGAATAGAATGAGAGATTTCAAAGCCAATCCAGTCCTAGGACCCACTTTCCTTAGCAATATGCTTTATTACTCCTTAGAGGTGATCTAATTTTTAAAAAGCCCAAGAGACTCAACAAAACAGTGAACATTTTATACTGTGCTTCTTGAATACAGGATTGCTCACCATTATTCTAACTACAAATAAACAGTCCTAGCAAATGGAGCCTAGAATGTGGACCAAACCGTGGTTTCTGCCAACAGGGGGCTTGAACCACTGGCTTCTGGAGGCTAGCAGGAACAGGTTTACACAAAGCAGAACAAGGTAGCTTGGACTGAGCACCACATGAAAAGGACAGATGTTAAATGTTACAATGTTACAACAAGGATCATCACAGCACCCACCACGCCTTTATCTTCTGCAGATACTTTCCTATCAGTCCTAGACTCCTGACCATCCCTACAGAGTTATCTCACCAGACTCTGAAGATCCACCTTGTTCCTATTTGTTACCTTATCGCCTAATGCAGTACTACCCACACCCCTCAGCACTTCCACTTAGAGAAAGTTCTCAACCCCACCTCTTCCTCCAGAGTATAATCTGTGTGTGTAGCCCTTAACACAAACATCCTATCCCATCACTCACCTACATGTGTTCATTCTTTCAATAAATATTTACAATCTAACCAGGTAGACAAGATATATACACATTGAAACTAAAATCAAAAAATCAAAATGCAAAGAATTTTTTGAATATCAAATAGAGGCAAAGCCACTACACGTATTAAACTAATCAGCTTCCCCCTGAGATATCCTATTCCACTACCCTTGTCCACTGTTTCTATAAACAGCAGAAGCATCAGGATCAATTTCAATTTCTCACTCCCCACAGTCAATTCCAAACACAATTAGCAACCAAACTCGATCAATTCTGCTTGAGATATTTCACTCATTTCTCCATCCCATCGTCTGTGCCTTGAGTTCAGGCCCAGTCATCTCCCGGTCTTCATCAGCTCTTGATGACAGCCTCTGTCTGGTCTTCCTCTCTCTGCTTGACACAGCCACCGAACTCATTATCTGAAAACACGCTTCTGATCACCTTGTGTTCCTATTTGCAACTGCCCTTCACATAAACTGCCACACAACCTCGCCAGTATTGTTTATTCACCCCCTTATCAACATGGCTTTCATGCAGACACAAGGTTTTCCTTATACAGAATATCTCTGCACTGCGGTTCTTTACCCAGAAACACCTTTCTGTCTTCATCGCCTGACAAACTCACACGCAGCTCTCCAAAACCAATGACAAGACCTCCTCCAGGAGCCTTTCTGGCTCCTCCAGGCAGCAGCCTCTTGTGCATCGAGTTGCCCGTAGTTCTCTGAAGATATCTGGGTCATCTGCCACTTCTTGTGTGCCACTATCATTTTATCACTTATGTATTTGTCTGCTTCCCAGGTGGCGCTAGTGGTAAAGAACCCACCTGCCAATGCAGGAGACCTAAGAGACACAGGATTGATCCCTGGGTCGGGAAGATCCCCTGGAGGAGAGCATGGCAACCCACTCCAGTATCCTTGCGTGGACAATCCCATGGACAGAGAAGCGTGGCGGGCTACAGACCATGGGGTCGCAAAGCGTCGGACACGACTGAAGCAACTCAGCACGTGTGTGTGCATATTTGTCTACCAATTATAAGATTTTCAAGGACAGAGGCTATGTTTTATTCATTCTCAGAGCCTAGAATGTTGCCCAACAAATAGCACACATGCCTTGATGGATTAATGAATGCCATACTTTCAAGGCACAGTCAAAAAATACCAGTTCATTTGCTGGTCCATTGTTTCTAACCTTCCTTACCATCAATGTGCACATTTATTGGAACCACCTGGGGAATGGTGGGAGTGTGAACCATCACACTCCAGGTGCACAGACTTTACTTGGGGGGAAAAAAGATCCATTCATCCACTCAACTTGAGCACCAAAGAACAAATTAATATAAAAATATTCCTTGAACCTCTCCATCTACACATGGGACTCCCTTTAATGATCTGTTTCAGAGAAAATCTTTTCTCTCTGCTTCTCAGTGACCTCTGAAGGATTATTAATAAATTTTCAAGGAATATTAGTAACAACAGCTAACACTTACTGAATGCCCACAATGTGTTAAGACTATTCTAAGAACCTCACCTTTTCAAACTCATTTAATTCTCTTATTTCATAGAGTTTTTAAAAGGATAAAATTAAACCAGTTAACCCAGTCCCCAGTGTCTTAAATAAACGTAGTTGTTTTTTAAAAATTTGGTAAGTAGACATGATATAAATTTTAGTTCATCTGGCTCACTTTATACAACAAAACAGGAGTCAGGAGACCTGGGCTCTCATCCCACCTTAGGTATTGTACCTGAAGGAAGCCACTGAACCCCACTGGAGCACAGACTCATGTCATCAGTTGTATTACAGAATTGGACAATGTGATTTTCAGGGATACTATTATGGGTAAGATACTATTATTCTTATCTGTTATTTGAATTGAATGGCATTCTGTAACTAAAAAAAAAAAAAAATGAGGCAACTTTGGACCATTAATTTACTGCTAAAATATAATTGATCTCCTAGAGAATTTAATTTACCATCAGTTTATTGCACTGATCAATATGAGTTTATAAAGCACATGAAAGGCAATTTCAAAATCACAAAATGTGAGGTCTCAGATTATGTGAAACTCTTTTATCTGCTCACTGAACTATCAGAGTAAATGTGCTCATAAAATCCTGGTATCATGACGCTTTCAGTTCAGTTCAGTTCAGTCGCTCAGCCGTGTCCAACTCTTTGAGAACCCATGGACTGAAGCACATCGGGCTTCCCTGTCCATCACCAACTCCCGGAGCTTACTCAAACTCATGTCCATAGAGTCAGTGATGCCATCCAACCATCTCATCCTCTGTCGTCCCCTTCTCCTCCCACCCTCAATCTTTCCCAGCATCAGGATCTTTACAAGTGAGTCATGACTCTTTGGCTCACTTTTATTTTGGTTTTTCATCCCTTGAATGAGCTCAAAATTGTCCCTGTATTAAGTAAACTGCTATATAAAGAATCCAGGGCATTTCATTATTTAAAAAATCATTTCTTTCTTAGAAAAGAATAGTCTTACATGGGGGCCAAGGAATGAAGTCAACCTCTGAGCACATGTATAAGAAAAGTGAAGGCACATTCTTCCTACTTTCTGCCAGGCACTGTTCTAGGCACTTGCATAGGTGAACTCATTTCCAACAATTCTATAAGGAAAGTACTATTACTATCTCCATTTTACAGCAGAGTCAGGCTGTGTAATCTTGAGCAAATGATTTTGAACTGTCTGTGTCTCAATTTCCTAGGCTGTAGAATGGGAATAGCTGTTCCTTCATCATTTAGTTGTCCAAAGATGAACTGAGTTAACATATAAAAGAATTTGGAAAAGTAGCTGTTACAGTAAGCACTACCTAAAAGTTGACTATGATCATTATTTTTGCCTGCATTATTATCCCTGTTACTCATATATACACAAAGGAATCCAAAAGTTAGTAAAAATAGGCACGTCCTTTGTTGAGGCTTCCCTTTGCTTCTCCATTTTTACTCTATGTTCTCTATCTCTTTATGTTCTCTGTCTATATCCACATTAGATGCGCTCGCTCAGACCAGTGGCTCCAAAGAACACTAGGATGACAAATCTCCAACTTCAACCTAGCCTCTGGATGTGTGTATTCACTGTCTACTGGACATCACCCCTTGTGGGTCTACATCAACAGCTCACACTAATCACATCAAAAATCCACTCTTGGTCCTCACCACTCGCTTCCTCCACAACAAAGCTCCTCCCCAGTCTTGTCCACCCCAGGATACAGGTGCAACCATTTATACAGTTTCTCTGGCTCAAATTTCATTCATCTTTCCCTCTCACACATCCAGTGCAGAGGGCAAACCACATTAGCACCATCTCCAAAGTCTATCCTGAGTGCCCATACGCTTTGACGATCAGTCATCCGACTCTTTGTGACCTCATGGACTGGGATGTCTTCCTGGTGACAACACTGGAGTGGGCTGCCATTTCCTCCCCCAGGGGAGCTTGCCAACCTAGGGATCGAACCCACGTCTCCTGCATCCCTGCACTGCAGCCCAATCTTTACTGCCAAGCCATCAAGCCACTGGGGAAGCCTCACTGAAATCCATCCTGAATCTGACCACATCTCTGCACTTCTCTCCCACTTTAGACCAAGTCCCCATTTCCCTGATCCATTTCCTTGCTTCTACTCTTGCCCCGTTACAACTTATTCCTCAAACTGCAAGTAGAATAATCTTTTACAAATCCAAATAAAATCATATCACTCTCTTGTTTAGAACCCTACAGTGTCTTCATACCACATTCAGAACAAACTTCAATCAGTTTACCACACCCTACAAGCCCTCTGTCTCTGCCCCTGGCTCCCATCTCCTTCTACTCTGCTTACTGTGCTCCAGACATGCATGCTTCCTCACTGATATATGAGCACATGCCAAGATCATCCCCAAGCTTATGCTGGTATCCCTGGTATCCCCTGGACCAAGAATTTGTCCCCCAGAGAAGACCTGGCCATGGCCCTCTCCCTCCCCTCAGTAATCCTTCATAAACAGAAAATGAAGGAAGAAAACAAAAGAGAATTAAAATACTCATGTGGGGCAGGTAACAATCCAAGAATACCATGAAATTGTAGAGTTCGTGAACAGCCCCGCAACAGTTGGTTTATCTCACTGATGAAAGAATTCTTCCACACATTTAATTAAGTATGTGAACTATATAGTAAGAATACACTTGCTTAAATTTTAAAATTTCTTTACAAGTGTTTTTTAATGCAATAATCTATGGCAACACTACTATAGACACAAAAAATAGTCAGTGGCACTTTCTTTCATTTTTGAAAATCAAAGCAGTAATAACTCAGTACCTTAAGATTTCATTTAGAATCATACTAGTTCCCTTTTCCCTTTACTGACAGTGACAGATAAATGGACAGGTTTTAAAATAATATGATAAGCACAAGGTAATGGAAAAGGATCAATTATGACCCAAATAGTGAATGCAAATAGTGTAATGTGCCATCCAATGTACACAGCATAAAACATATACTGTTTAAAACTAGACCAAATGATTATAAAATTTTCAATTGGTACCAAGTAAAACTTTGACTCCATAAATAGAAGAGGATAACCTTTGAGGCATAAATGAGTTCTAGTTATGCTTACTCTGAAAGATTTCCAGAATATAAGTTGTTTTTTGTTTTTTTAACCAAGGGATTCTGTGCAGACTGATTCAGAGCAATAAAGTAAAAGTATCTTGATTTCATTTCAGACTAGCCCACAGATTTTTCCAACAAGTGAGAAAAAAACCCTCCAACATACCCTCTGAAAGACTTGGTTTTGTTTTGTGTTTGAGCCTCTCCTTGCAAGGGTGAAAGTTCAGTTGCTGTAACACTGCTGGACAGATGACAGAGAAGTTTGAGCTGGTGATCTGTGTAATATTTGAAAAGCCATGAAGGGAAAAGATCTCTTCAGCTGATAAACACTGAAATAGAAGAAACAAAGTAAACATATATGTGTCAACATAGCAAAAGTCTGCAGGCAAAGATGCCATAAAGAGACACAAAGGGTTTTCTCTAGACACTCAACATTACTTTTTATACTCAAGCCTAAGGGAAAAATGTATCAGTTCAGTTCAGTCGCTCAGTTGTGCCCACCTCTTTGCAACCCCATGAATCCCAGCACGCCAGGCCTCCTTGTCCATCACAAACTCACAGAGTTTACTCAAACTCATGTCCATCGAGTCAGTGATGCCATCCAACCACCTCATCCTCTGTCGTCACCTTCTCCTGCCCCCAATCCCTCCCAGCATCAGGGTCTTTTCCAGTGAGTCAACTCTTCACATCAGGTGGCCAAAGTATTGGAGTTTCAGCTTCAGCATCAGTCCTTCCAATGAACACCCAGGACTGATCTCCTTTAGGATGGACTGGTTGGATCTCCTTGCAGTCCAAGGGACTCTCAAGAGTCTTCTCCAACACCACAGTTCAAAAGCATCAATTCTTCAGTGCTCAGCTTTCTTCACAGTCCATAAAAATGTATAGACCTCTATAATTTTGAATCAGATCACACCTCTTTAATGCTAGAAACTAGAAAAATGGCCAAATAAAAATTTTCTTAATCAACAGTCTATCTATAGCAGCCAAAATATAAGTTTAGGGATTTCCAGGATTTTAAAAATATTAACAGTGAACCAATTCACACAAAGAGCTCTAAAACAACTCTATATCCTCAGTCTTCCATCTCTGTTTTTCTTTAATTCAAATAGGTATTTCATGGAGGCTACTGAAGTGGCCCTGTATAGCATTTCTTATAGACAAACACATGTTTCCCTTATAATTTCATGATTAAGAAATTCATCCATCCTAGACTAAAATAATAAGAATCTTAATATGTAAAAGTTGTTTTAAAACATGTCTTTACAACAAATCATTGTTTGCTAAAATATTTATTATTCTCGGTGATGGTGGGTAGCTTTTCTACATCATAGAAAGTTTTGAAAATGGTGCAAGGCTGTTTAGAAATTCATTTATCTATTAATAAGGAATAGAACCTGCCTGAGAAAAATTCTCTTCAGAAATAACTTTTTTAAAGTATCAGTACACTCAGGTATATTTTAACTGTAAACTTTCTTCTATATACTTGCATTACTAAGATGAATATAAAAGAAATTAAGTGTCTTACTACTGCTAATAAATATGGTGTATTTTAACTGTAAACTTTCTTCTATATACTTGCATTACTAAGATGAATATAAAAGATTTTAAGTGTCTTACTACTGCTAATAAATATTGTAAGAGTTACAGAGCATTAAAAATACCGATTCACTCAAATTAAAAAATTCTCCCTAATAAGTGCAAAGAACATTTGTTCACATACTTCAGCCAATATTTAAGCCCCACTAAGACTTTAGCTTTTTCTCTGGACTGGATTGTGTCCTCCCCAAATATATATATTGAAGCCCTTTGTTGTTGTTCAGTCGCTCAGTCGTGTCTGACTCTCTGCAACCCTACAGACTGCAACCCACCAGGCTCCTCTGTCCATGGGGTTTTCCAGGCAAAATTACTGGAGTGGGTCACCATTTCCCACTCCAGGGGATCTTCCTGACCCAAGGATCGAACCAGTCTCTCAGGGTCTCCTGCGTTGCAGGTGAATTCATTACCGCTGAGCCACTGGGGAAGTCCTTCTGAAGTCCTAACCCTCTACAAAATGTATGAAGTTGCCAAATGCTAAGACTTCAATTGCCTTAAAGAAAATGCACATTCAGACAACTTTTAATGTTGAAGTATGTGCCTAAAGTTGTTCTTTATTTAACCTGGTTCATGAAGGTGAGAACTGTGTGCCATCCCTAGAAGAGGTGACAATACACTCAACGCTCTGTTAACAGTCTCTCCTAAAGTCAAGAATAGGGGATAATAAATGAATGGAGGGAGAAAAACTGCTTGATGGCCAGCCGGGGGAGAGAAAGTGGGTATGGTTTATTCATTACCATGAAGACACCGAGCAGTATAATTGCAAGCCCCAAACATTACAGAGTCCAGGGAACCGCCTGGCAGTCCTGTGGTTAGGATTCCACACTTTCAATTGCCTAGGGCCTGGTTTCAATCCCTCTTCAGGGAACTAGGATTTGGCAAGCTACAAGGCATGGCCAAAACAACAACAACAACAACAACAACAACACAGAGTCCGTGTGTCTCAGTTGCCCCACTGCATGATTCCAGAAATAAATAGGTGTGGAAGTAGAAACACAAAGCTGCACTGTTTCCCTGCAAGGAAATGCCTCCAAAATAGGAGGAAAGGGGGAAGCTGGGCATAGATAATGTGCAAAGTCTTCTCAGAAGTCACAATCTAAGACTTCCTAAAACTTGATGACTGCTAAACAGTTCCTTTTAGACTCTAATATGACGCATTCATGGATCAGGAAATCCACTTATAACATCAGGGTCAGCATTTTGTAAATAAGTAAAAAACAATATCATAGAAACTGTAGAGTGTATCACATAAAACAAGAGTAAGGATTATTTAGTCAAACTTTTGCTTCAGTTATGCTTTAGACATACCAGACACATGGATAACGGGCCACAATATAAGGTTCATTTCTTACTACAAGTGGCAGTTAAGAGTTTTAAAGTCACTCTCCTTATGGATGCCAGACTGTCCACTGTACACCATTAAAGACACTCTCCTACATACAGTTTAAAAAAAAATGCAGTCAAGAATATAAATCAATAAGATAGCTGAAAGTAAGATGAGTCTTGATGATCTGTGCTGAAAGAACAAAAAGGTAGTGAGCCAACAAAACTCAAGTTTTGCTTTATGATTTCAGAATGAGGACTACTAACAGTGTGACAAAACTGAATTAATGGCAGGCCTGCTTCATTTAAATTGGCTATTTCAGAAAACAAACAGTGACTGCCAGAAAAGGGGAGGGGGGAATGAAGTAGGTGTAGGGGATTAAGAGATACAAACTCCCAATTATAAAATAAATAAGCCATAGAGTTGTAATATACAGTATAAGGAACATGGTCAATAATATTGTCATAATTTTGTATGGGGATAGATGGTTACTACTGATCACTTCATAATGCCTGCAAATTTCAAATCACCAAAACTAACATAATCTAATATAATCTAACATAATGTAATCACCTAAAACTAACATAATATTATATGCCAACTATATTTTAATTTTAAAAAATAAAAATAAAGGAGTGAAGTTATGAGTGAAAATTAATTGATGAGTTTAATTAAATATTAGGTTGGTGCAAAAGTAATTGCAGTTTTTGCACTGTTGAAATTTGACATTTGATACAGGAATACATTCTTAAATAAATGTGGTCATGTTACATGACATTTTAATGCACATTGCTCACTTTATGTTTTTTTGCCAATGACTTATGGCTTGCTGTTTATTTTGTATTTATTTTAGACTATGGAAATGATAGACAAAGAGCAAATTCAAGTCATTTTCTTTTTCAAGTTCAAAAATGGGTAATAAAGCAGCAGAGACAATTCGCAACATCACCAAAGCGTTTGGCCCAAGAACTGCTAATGAACAGACAGTGCAGTGGTGGTTCAAGAAGTTTTGCAAACGAGACGAGAGCGTGGAAGATGAGGAGTACAGCGGCTGGCCGGCAGAAGTTGACAGCCACCCACTGAAAGCAATCATCAAAGCTGATCCTCTCACAACTATACAAGAAGCTGCCAAAGAACTCGATGTTGACCATTCTATAGTCGTTTGACATTTGAAGCAAACTGGAAAGGTGAAAAAGCTCGATAAGTGGATGCCTCACGAGCTGTCTGAAAATCAAAAAAATCATCATTTTGAAGTGTCATCTCCTCATATTCTTTGCAACAACAGTGAATCATTTCTTGATCGGGTCGTGACATGCAATGAAAAGTGGACTGTATGTGATAATCAGTGACAACCAGCTCAGTGGCTGGATCAAGAAGAAACTCCAAAGCACGTCCCAAAGCCAAACGTGTACCAAAAGAAGGTCATGGTCACTGTTTGGTGGTCTGCTACCCGTCTGATCCACTACAGCTTTCTGAATCCTGGTGAAACCATTACATCTGAGAAGTACGCTCGGCAAATAAATGAGATGCACCAAAAACTGCAACGCATGCAGCCAGCATTGACCAACAGGAAGGGCCCAATTCTTCTCCATGACAACACCTAACCACACATTGTACAACCAATGCTTCAAAAGTTGAACAAACTGGGCTACAAAGTTTCGCCTCATCTGCCATATCACCTGACCACTGGCCAAACGACTACCACTTCTTCCAGCATCTCTACAACTTTTTGCAGAGAAAACACTTTCATAAACAGCAGGAGGCAGAAAATGTTTTCCAAGAGTTGGTCAAATCCCAGAGCATGGATTTTTATGCTACAGGAATAAACAAACTTATTTCTCGTTGGCAAAACTGTGTTGATTGAATGATTCCTATTGTGATTAATAAAGATGTGTTTGAGCCTAGTTATAGTTATTTAAAATTCACAGTCCAAAACCACACTTACATTTGCACCAACCTAATAGCTACCAGCAAGTGGAATGCAAACAGTTTTATACTGTACCTTATTTGGTTTTAAACAATCCTGATTTTTATTGTACTTTGAAATAACAAAGTTGAACCTGACACAAAGAAAGCAGTTGTCTAAGAAAGGGCAGTGCTTTCCAGAGCAGAGATAAACAGGATGAGCTCCCAGGGCCTGGACAGAACAGAGTGGAGTGACAACAGAACCGGCAGAACCATTGAGGAAGTTCAAACATCCTCTCAAACACACCCCTTCTCCTCCAAATAAACAATGAATGAACTATAAAACTGGTGTGACCAACAGGGGCTCCTCAGAAAACAGCTCAGGGTGATTAACCTGAAGAGTATCTGCTTCCGTGTGCTTTCACAGGCTCCTTCACATTTCCGTACTGGCTGTTCTTTCCACTTATTTGCTCTTACAACACTGCTATTCTCAAGACAGCCACTCTG